CTCTTCCTTTCTTCTGCTGCTCCTCTCCTCCCCTTCGCCTTTCCACCTCGATCCTCGAAGCCCGACATCAATAATCGTTGACATCAACTGATTCACATACAGCAGCCTTCTCTTCCTCCTCTCTTCTTCGCCCTCTCTCAATCCTTCTTCCTTACTTCTGCTGCTCCTCTCCTCCTCTTCGCCTTTCCACCTTGATCTCGAGGGAGACCATAAAAAATCGTTGACAGATACAACCTCCTTCTCTTCCTTTCTTCTTATATCAAACCCCTCCTCTTCCTTTCTTCTGCTGCTCCCCTCCTCGCCTTCGCCTCTTTGCCTTCCGAGAATACCATCGAAAATCGTTGACATCAACTAATTCACATGCAACATCCACTGTGTTTTGCAACCAATTAAAGAGAGCACCCCTTCGGTTGAGTATGAGCCACCACCACCCGAGGGGACGGCTGAAAGATAGCAAGAGAAGCGAAAGAGAGCAGCACACCCTCATCGAAGTTCTATCGATTTCATTTTGTAGAAATTACAAAATTCTTTCACAAATCAATCAATCACCATAAGCATTAATCAATCACCATAAGCATCAATCAATCACCATAAGCATCACATCAATCAATCACCATAAGCATCAATCAATCACCATAAGCATCACATTAATCAATCACCATAAGCATCACATCAATCAATCACCATAAGCATCCAATCAATCACCATAAGCATCAATCAATCAATTTCGATACGCATCAATCAATTTCCATAAACATCAATCAATCACTATCAACATCAATCAATCACCATTAGCATCAACCAATTACCGCAAGGATCAATCAATCACCAGAAGATACAGCGATCAAATACCAACCCTGGAAACTCTACATAACTGAGGGACACGGCGAGATTTTTGTGCGAGAATCGAGGAAAACGCATAGGCTCTTCTTCTTTGTCCGAGTCAGAAACAAAGGCAGGCAAAAGGACAAGAAGTGTCTGAGGAAAAAAATCAGAAACTACGATGAATATTTTAACCAGCGCTATGAAAACGGATACCATTTTTTTTTTTATAAAGACGAAGCAAAACGGACGCCACAAAGCGGGAGGAGAGAGAGAGAGAGAGAGAGAGAGAGTTGAAACAGAAAAGGAAAAGGAATTTAAAAAATGAACAAATACCAGCAGGTATTCTTCAGGGGAGTGTAAAAAATCACACAGACTCTGTAAAAAAAAATAATAATAAAAAAATAAATAAAAAAAAACACTGTGAACTAAGGTCACACAGAGATAGTCAGTGTGAGGAGACGTGGAGGCGGTATGAAGCAAAGATTCGGACGAAAGAACAGGGTCTGTATTCGAAAAGACGAC